TGCACATGCTAAATAAGGTTTCCGAATTCTTTGTCATCGTCTGCTTCTTCGTCATCATAAATTTCAATCTTGAAGCCCCCTTTACGGAAACATTCGAAAGCACAAAATTGTCGATCAGAATCGTTATGGAAAGAAGAAAACTCAATGTTTTGATCGTTGAAGAAGTGATAATGCAGTGTGCTTCACCGCAATTGAAGTTGATGACCCCGATCATTTGTTTATATCCGGGGTCATTACACTGTCCAGACATCACGCGATGCGATGGCGTGTGGTGTGAAAAACTTAATCAGTTGCTATTGTTTTACACAGGACGTTACTTGTAGTGTGAGATTTGATATTGTTTCTGTGACGTTCACGGTAAATTCAACACAATGCACACTTTTTAGGTCGGGCAGACCGGATTACTAGACAGCGGACGTGGTGCAACTGGTCGGATGGTCGATGTATTCAGTGTGAATATTGGACTTGGGGCCGATCAATGCGGTCGGTGTTCGGAGTAGACAGTGGTCGGATTTCACAGGTTGTTTTAACATAGGCGTCTATGGAGAAATTTCGGGACTATATAAATCGGTCGGTTCTGACAGTAGGTCGGTTTATCCAGGGGTCGGTTTTGACAGGTTTTACTGTACCTAAACGTGTCCACAGCAGTTTCTCGGAGATGACTGGGCCGATTTGGATCAAAGTAAAGTTGGTATGATCATACATATTGTAGGTGCATGTCATACTTTTTTTCGTGATTCATCTTGTTTTTCATGGTACCCATGCTACTTTATCTTGAATGCAATGAATGTTTTGGTTTAAATTTTGTACAAAGATAGTATACCAAGAGATACATATGCACCAACATGATTTTTTTTATTCAATTCAATATGGCTGGCCGACGCCAAATTTTCATGTAAAAGTGCTAAATAGTCATTTTTACATGTCCGGAGCTGTTTCTCAGAGATGACTTGGCCGATTTGGATCAAACTTGGTATTTTTTATTTTTTTTTTTATTTTTTTATTTTTTTTTATTAGACGCATAAAATCCTTAGGAAAGGATAAAAAGGGTCTTACAGAAAGAAATTAAAAAATAACTACAATCTAAAAAAGAAAACAAAAAATAAAAACTTTTCTAAAAAAAATAAAATAAAACAAGTCAAAAACAAAAAAATACAATTTGCAGCCAATGGTGAATACAGAATGATATGAATACAGTATGATGATCATACATATTTGGTTATAGGTGCATGTCATACTTTTTCCGTGATTCAAACAAATATGGCTGACTGGCTCTCATTTTGTTTTTCATGGTACCCATGCTACTTTCTCTTGAATGCAATGAACGTTTCTTTTAAATTTTGTACAAAAATAGTATACCAAAGAATACATTTGTACCAACATTATTTTTGTGATTCGATTCAATATGGCTGATTGACACCAATTTTCATGTAAAAGTGCTAAATCGTCATTTTTACATGTCGGAGCTGTTTCTCAGAGATGGCTAGGCCAATTTTGATCGAAGTTGGTATGGTGATCATATACATTGGGTTATAGGTGAACACCATATATTTTTCGTAATTGGAATCTTAATAATCTCAATGACTTCATCAGCATCGAATTGATATGTAAGATCACAAAATTTTGGACGGGGATTGTGTCATTAACAGTGACTTGTTTTTCAATAAAACACACATCAATGCAAGTAACTTGTCAAATCTAGAG